TACTTTATCAGTATATATAAATACTTTATAAATACTTTATCAGTATATATAAATACTTTATAAATACTTTATCAGTACTATATCAGTGGCAAGAATAAATAAAGACTTACGATGTTTCCTTATAAGTAATTAAGGTTGAAGATTGATTATATACTTCAAAAGTAGATGTAAATTGTGACGGATTAATGGCATAAGAATTTAATGGGCTAAACATTTCTGTTTATAAAATAAATCAAATTACATAAATGTTTATAAATATGTTTAAAATCGATATGATAAACTATTTCTTTGCTTACGGATTCTTGTTGCGAGTCCAAAATAATCAAACGCATGCATAGATGATTTTCTTGTAACTGATAAAGCACCTTTCTTTAAAGAACCTCCAAGATATGAATATTTAACTCGTTCTAACCATATAATTTGCCTCTACACAAATTAATAGATGCCAAAAGTAAAAATAAAATTATTTTTAGTAAAATTTTAGTTTTTTTTGTGTAATTAATTTTCTTTTTTAGAATTACCTGGTATGGTGAAAGAGCATATAAATTAGTACTTTCAGATGAAAGTTCGGTAAATTTTGTATCAGCGTGTTTATTCTCGCTAATAATTAAATCTGGATCCATAAGATGTATTACTGGGTATGATTGCAAGGTTGGTAATGTATTATTTGGAAATGAATTATTAGCGGAAATTTGGAAATAAACACCAACGGGCAAATTCAAAACAGTTCCATCAGTAAAATTGACACCAGGATCATAGTAAGCATAAACAATCGAAGTGGTAGGTGGATCACTTTCATTAAATATTTGATTACTACAGGAAGTGTCAAGAACAGCAGTGGCTATAAATTTTGAAGACAGGATTAGTGAAACAATGAAATGAATATAAATACTAAATATTATTAAGACTACTTACGATATAAGTAAGAACAGCTAACTCTAATGTTAGAATAAATTGATGTATTAAAACTAAGAATAACAACTGACAATTATAATTAATAGATATACATTAATGTCGAGATATTAAAACAAATTCATATATGGGGACCTCCACAGCAAAAGGTGGCAATGGGCAAAAAATTTTTTTTCTTAAAAATCAAATTTCTTGAAGAATTAGGCCATACAAACTTAATAAATCGGTTCTCATAACCCGGCCGGGTCAAATTTTACAAAACTTTAAAAAAAAAT